GAGTCAATTTCATCATTCAGGTTTAATTTTAAGATAAGTAAATTTGGGTCCATCACACTCTGAAAAATATATTTCATATAAATGTAATGCACATGGAACGGTGCTACTTTTATGCAATATATGTCTTTCTTACCATTAACTCAGTTGCAATTTCAGACTTTGACTGTATTTCAGGAAAGGGTATTAAACCGTTTTCATAAATGTGAGATACATTCAAATCCCTTTCTGGTCTCTCAGGTTCCTCATATACTATGGACGTCATTCTATCCCTTTAAAAAGATTTGTATTTCATTATTCACTGTGAGGATACAGTAGAAAAAGTGTCCAACTTAAACATACAACGTATATACCTTGTAATATTAAATCTTTCAGTTGCAATTCTTTTTTCTCTTTCCATTAATGACTGAATCTGTTTTTGCAATTGATTGAATTTTTCTTTATTTTCATTCTCTAAATGTTTCGCATCTTTTAGGGCTTTTATTCCTTCTTCCTTTTTAGCTAGAGCAGCCTAAAAATATTAAGGAATCAACTATAATATAATGTGATAAATCATTAAATTATTTGAATTATAATATAATAATCAATGTCACGGTAAATATCTATAATAATGCAACACCTGAGTAAGGGTTTCAAGTTCTTTGGCACGTGAAATAAGTAGGTCTTCTGTATCTTGTAACTTTTGCTTATGAAAATTAAGTTCATTTATCTTTTCTTTCCATTTTAGTCTTTCCAGATTAGCAGATGCAGTTGATTCTTGAGCGGTCTTAATAGCAGCTTCTAGCTAGAATAATACAGTTTACATCAATTCTCTAGAATATATCAGGTTAGCACAAAAGTTTGTGTCCGATTTTTACAGCCGGGTTAGATTTACTTATGTAAAATTTAACAATTTTATACCTCTATTTTAGCCAATTCCCCACTATTGTTCCTTAGTTTACTTAAAACTTCCAATTGCGCTCTTTCTTTTGCTATTGCTTCTCTTTCTTTTGTAAGTAATTTCTGCTGTTTCTCCTGCTCTTTCACCCAGGATTCCTTTAACGCCTGCGACCACAATGTTTACGAAACTCAATTTTTAATTTCAACACAAAATCCTGCTTTAATATAATACCTGCATGTAGTCTCTTTCCCATTTCATTTTGTCTTCAAATAATTCTTTTTCTCGCAATAGATTTGCTGTTTGCCTTTCGACCGTTTCCTGTACTTGGTTGCATGACGTACTTTGTTTTTGAAACTCAGTTATAAGTTGTGTAAGACGAACATTATATTTTTCTGTCGTTTCCACAAATTTATTATATTGTTCTTCCAAAGTGCTATGCCGATGTTTTAATTCAAGTGTCTGTGCTGCAAATCTTATTATTTAATAGGATAACGTACATACTAAATCTAGATTATTTACTATTGTTAATTTATTATTTTGTTTAACTTACTCGTTATATCATTTTCATATACTTTCAAAAGATTCTTTTGAAGTTTTTGTATTTCACTATTGTCAGTCTCTAATTCTTTCTTCTTTTCTACCATGTTCTCGATGATAACACTGGCTTTTTCTAATATGTACTCTATATCAGTCTTTTGGCTAGTGATAGCTTGTATTGTTTCATCTTCTGTTTGCTTGGCTCTAGATATGCTCTGTATTATATTAGAATATTCTGCTTGCAGAAGTTTTATATTTTCAGAATGCAGTTTACACAGCTCTTCAATGCGTTGGGCATGTTCATTCTAATTAAAAAATACTACTACAATTATTGTATTAAATTATATAAATAATCGCATAATTATAACGTACAAAACATCCAACCTTTAGATTATGTATTTCTTTTTTATATTGATTTTCTGTTTGTAGTTTTTCATCTCTTAATTTTTCTAACTTTGTCGCACAGTTTATTTCTAAATATTCCATGTCTTGTTTTACTCTCTCTTCTGATTTTAGTAATGCTTCTTTCAAAAACGATATTTGTCTTCTAAAAATGGAACGATTTTGTGTCAATTAAAATATATAACAGAATACATCAAGAAGAAATATATATACTCGTAGAATTCTGCTTGAAATGTTATTTCCTTATCATGTTTTTCATTTATAGTAAATAATTTTAATTCCAATTTTGACTTTTCTCCCTCTAACTTTTTTATTATATTTTCTGTTTCTTCTCTCGTGCTTCCAGACTCCTCTTTTTCTGTTGTGTTTGATGCGCTAACTATCGTAGTATTAGATATTGGCATGGGTTGTACCATTAAGGCCTTAAGAAAGAGAAATTAAAAATAATTAAATTTTTATCTTCCTAATCTCATATACTATTGATATACACTTAACAATACGTTTAAAAAAGCTTACATGAATATATTGGTTAATCCGTTCTTGTTGCATTTTTATTTGTTTCTCTAATAGAGCTTGTCTTTCAAGTTGCAATTTCAAAAATGTATTAAATCGTTCTTCCTGATTATGCAACAAGCTATGTTGAGCATTTGATACCTTACTTAATTGTTCATTTTGCTGGGAAACCATTACTGTTGTCCTTAATTCGTGTTCTTGTTGCTGCATATTCATAAATGCATTCTGTTGATTTAATTGTGTACCAAACAACATTGATAAATGCTCTGGTAAGACAGGCGCACCGTCTGAATCCTTTACATCAGATGTTTCGGACCCTAGTACCGTGCTAACATTTTGAGTCACGATGTTTTTTTCAAAAGTAGGTATTTTGTCATTTTTAACTGCTTCTTCTTCCTTTACTTCCACTTTCTTATCCTCAAATTTCTTCGAGCCTCCCAACCATTCTGGCAAATCTTTTTCTGACTTAGTACCTTGTACAACATGATCTTTAATCGACAAATTATCATTTGTTATCTAAAAAATTAAAAAGTACATTAAAATACATTTTTTTTTTAATTAACATTTAACCAACTACTAAATGTGATTACCAGTTCTAAATTTTGATCAGACAGCAAATCGCCAGATAGCAAACCAAGAGGGTCATTTATTATTTTTGTATTCCTCCGACCTCTACGAGATTCTCTTGTGAAAAACTTAGTTGATGGCTCATTATAATTAGATTTTAATTCCTGGCTAGCGTTTGTAGATTCTATCATAACTTCTGATTCAGTTCTATTAATGTTTCTAGGAATGATTGAAACTGGAGTACTAGATGTATGAGATTTATTTTCAAATAAACTGTCTCTTAAAAATGATTTGCTAGATTTATCAACTGTATCTGACTTATCAGTTAAACTCGCTATAATATCATCTTCATTCTTGGATACATTCTTCAATGTTTTTGCAGATTTTTCGTTAAATAATTCATCTGGCAACGTAGTAAGATTACTTTTAGAAGTTGAGTAGTTATTTGGTTTCTGTAAAAACGCTTGAGTCTCTCCTTGTTCACTATGAAATTTCACTTCCGGGTCATTGCTTGATCTAATACTATTTGTAGACACAACAGGACTTTTAATTTTAAAAAGATCCTCTATTAGACTACTTTTACTGTTGGATGTAAATAAGTTCTTTTTTCCTTTTGAAGAAGTTTCTTCATCAGAAAGTAATCCAGGCAATAAATCATCGTCATTAGAATCTATTTAGAAATAACATTTTTTCCATCACTACTTGTAAAGACTGTAAATGTTATGATTTATAAATGTATATGTATGTACAATTTTGAAATTGCAAATAAATTTTCATGAAAATAAGCAACTTTAGACATTATACTACTAAAAATATAATTAAATATAAATCACCAGTTTGTGTCGTTTTTCTACTTTAAATGCATAAACCACCTTTAAATATAACTTTTTTTTTAGTTTCTCCGTCTAATTGTGCGCTAGAATCCTTGTAAATACTGGTAGAAGATTTTGTTCTTTTAAATAATTCCATATCTAAACTGTCCATGTCTTCTAATGCTTTTGTAATATCTTCCAAGTTCTCATTTGAAGTATCAATGCGATCGATCATCTGCATAAAAGGCGTAAAATAAATGATCTCTACGTTCGCTTATTAAACTATAAGAGCGATACCTTTAAACATGTACATTTAAACCAGCATGAACTTGAATCACCAATAAATTAAGTATTGCCGTCTTCTTTGTTAAATCTTGGGGAAACTACTGCTGTACGTTCTACTATATTTGAATTGTTTTGCATTCTGGTTTCCATGGAGACAATAAGGAAAAATATTGAACACAACCTTATATATAGACGAGCTTGCCTTTCGAGACACTACCGCATCCCTCGATAAGTATATATAAGAATGATTTACATATTACATTTCATAATACATGTTTTTTTTTAAATGACGTGTAATCTCTAAACATGATATTTAAATTTCATTGCGCAAACAAATATAGAATTTGAATTATCAGCAATAATCGACGATTATTGACCATGTCGATTACGATGTCGATACATACATCGATTTCGATGCAAGAATTGAAGAATTGTATTTTGGTACCGCTGGTACCGCCTAAGTATTCGCCACTGGTATTCGCCAGCATTCGCCAGTATTCGCATATATGATTCCCCCTCATGTCTCATGCAGTCTCATGTTCGGCCGAATCGATAATACATTGGAAACTGTTGACCCTGTTGACGTCGTATAAATGTTTGTGCTTAGCATTTAATGCTTGCATCTAATCTTTTTCAATTTTAAGTAAAGCCATATAATCTATTGAGATTGCAATGCAGAGTGTCATTAATTCCGTGAAAGGTACTGCGCTTGGTGTTGCCGAATACTTAACCCCTGTGCTAAAGGTATGACTTAAACGTAAATACGATATCTTCAGAATAGATATCTAAAACATGAATAAACAAATAAAATATATTAAAATCCTACATAATTCTATATGATAAACATATCGTCATTACGTACTATTTGATCATTTGTTTATGTCCTGCTGCTATATGTCTGTGGTATTGTTAAGTACTATGTTGTATTTTATAATTTACGAGAATTCTATGTAACAGAGGCACCAGATTAAAATAAAACAAATTTTTAAACATAACTTCCTTTGTTGTACTTAAGCCTATGTTTTTATTAAGCTTCATATTTTGTTTATCAGCTAAATTACTACTTCGTATGATTAAAATATTTGTGAAATTATTTTAGTTCGTTTAATAAAAGTTCTTAGTTAAACATGCTGTATCTGCAAATAAAGTCATATTTATGATGGCGATAATTATTAAAGGAAAGTAAATTTCGAGAAACTGGAGTATTAACACCAGAGGAGTTTGTGGCAGCAGGTGATCACTTAGTGCATCATTGTCCAACTTGGCAATGGGCTACTGGTGATGAAGACAGAGTGAAATCGTATCTTCCCAAAAATAAACAATTTTTGTTAACACGAAACGTTCCTTGTAGTCGCCGATGTAAACAGGTATCATTAATATAAATCTATGTATTAATGTAATGTACATTTACAAATCAATGTATTATAAGTTGAATATATTGTCATTGAAATCTAGATTGAATATAGTAAGGAACAAGAATGTATCATAGAAGAAGATGATCCAGAAGGTGGATGGGTAGATACACATCATTATGATACTGATCTTGGTGGCGTTGAAGAGAGAGTAACAGAAATGACTTTAGATGAGACACAACTCTCACAATCAATTAGTGCAGAAGAGAATAATGAAGATGACGATGAGGATGACGACGATGATGGAGATGCTGCAGATATGGAAGCTTTTGAAGTTAGTGGGATGTTAGATGAACAAGATAAGGTGCATATTCTTCTTAAATTTTTTCGAATATTCTGTGCTGGGAACAGTAACAATATTTGATTCAATTTAAATTATATGTAATAGTATGCAGCGAAAAGTACAAAGAAACCTACCAAGGAGAAATGGGATGCATTTTCTGACGGAGAAATCATTCATACACGTACATACGATTTATACATCACATACGATAAATATTATCAAACACCTCGACTATGGCTTTCCGGATATGATGAGGTTTGTTTATTTTATTTTATATGTTATTGCCTTAGTATCATATACCTATTTTAATTACTTCCTTGTCATAAAAGAATCGAAAGCCTTTGACAGTAGAAGAAATGTACGAAGATGTTAGTCAGGATCATGCGAAAAAGACTGTTACAATGGAAGTACATCCTCATATACCTGGGCCGTCGATGGCATCGGTTCATCCTTGCAGGTAAGTATTTTAATTGAAATAAATGAGTGATACTGTGTAAATATTTAGACTCATAGGTAAAAATTGTAATTAATAAAATAAAATTACAGACATGCTGAAGTAATGAAGAAAATCATCGAAACCGTGATGGAGGGTGGACGTGAGCTTGGCGTACACATGTACTTGATAATATTTCTAAAATTCGTGCAATCCGTAATTCCTACAATTGAATACGATTACACGCAAAATTTTATGCTAAACGCATCTGGTTAGGTGCTTTACAAATTTTCATTTTATTTTTAAGAATGAACGTGACTTTAGTTTTTAAATATATGCTATTATAAGTAACGCAAATGGAAGGATTGTGAGGCACAGAACATAATAAATACATTTCAACTAAAAAAGAAAATCAATTAAAACAGAATGTGGTTGATTATTAGATTTACATATTTTTTAATTCATTTTATGTTATGATTGTCATAAAGTCAGTAATCGTGATAATTGATTGTAATGATCTATCTGATATATGGAATTTATTTAGAAAATGTTATTTGAATGAATAAAAAGATATTGTGTTTAGGTATTTATTACTTGATGAGTTTTACTGAGGATAATAAGAAATTTTTCCACTAGGGATCGTTTTTGTTCAAATTTAAAATGGCGGTAGTCCTACAGTCCTACGTGTTGTGTTTAAATGTCACTCATCAAGTTGTGTACATGTGAGTAAATATTTTATTCAAAATAAAATACATAGTCGTAAAATGTCGCATATTACTGTCGCATATAACATTAAATATGCTGTATTCGTTACTGCATAACATTTGACAACTTTATTTCTTATAGGTTAAAGAAGATTGTTGTTGATAAAACTTTTATACTATTTTTTATTTGAAAAGGATATTAATCATAAAGATGTCGACATTGTATGATCAAATAAAATTGCTATATGAACAATCATTATATTCAAATGTTATTTCTCTTGTAAGTAAATGTGGCAAAGAACAAGTAATAAAAATAATTTCTCAATACTCTATAAAAAGATGAATATAGAAAATAATGAAGTTTCATAATAACTATGATTATTTCCATGTTTCAGGCAAACTTAGTGTTGTCACTTAGCGAACATAATTCAGACTTATTACCGATATATGGAAAGTTTCATATATATGTTTATTATGCAGATGCACATTTTTACCTGGGAAAATATAAAAGAGCAGAAGCTCTTTATAAGAAAGCTCTGCAATTCCGTAAATGTTTATTAAAATCTAAGGGCACGTCAAAACCTATAGAGAGTCAGAAGGATTTACCAACTGATGTTGATATAAAATTTCAAATTCATTTGTGTTTAATCAAATTGAAGAATTCTCAAGAAGCACTTCATGTGTTACAAAGCATTCCTGGTAAACAGAGGACACCAAAAGTGAATATGGCGCTTGCAAAAATGTTTCATGAACAAGGAATGGAGCGTTCCGCAATCACCACCTACAAAGAAGTTTTGAGAGAATGCCCATTAGCTTTAGAAGCTGCCGAAGGGCTTCTTTCTCTTGGAATAAAAGGCATCGAAGTGAATTCGCTAATTGTAAATTGTTCATCTAATTTGTCAAATTTAGATTGGCTAAACACGTGGATTAAAGCTCATGCACATATGCATAATAGGGAGTACACTCATGCAGTTTCAACATTAAGATCTTTAGATAACATTAATTTGCTTAGGGATAACTTTAACTTATTAACAACAATAGGAGAATGTTATTATTATGCCGAAGATGATAAAAATGCTTTATTATGTTTGAGAAGAGCTAGAATTGTTGAGCCTGATGTTATGAAAGGGTAACGAGCATACAAATTTACTCTTGTAACATTAGAAAATTGTAAAAGTAATCTGAAATTTTTCTTATTGGCAGAGTTGATATTTATGCAGCAGTATTATATAAAACAAACAATGTTAAAGAACTTGAAAGACTGATTCCCGTAATAACAGCGAACAATGAGTGTACAGGAGAGATATACGTTGCCATGGCCTACTCCCTTTACGCCTCTAGGAAGCTTGGTAGAGCAAACACGTTGACGGCTCAAGCCTTGAATTTAAATCCAAATGATATAGAAGCAATCATACTTCGAGGAAATATTTTGATAGAACAGAAAAAGTATCAAGATGCTTTATTTTTCTTCAGACATGCCGTTCAACTGAAGCCGTATCGTTGTGAACCACATAAAGGTTTGGTAGATTGCCTTGTAGGAATGCATAGATTGCGGGAAGCCCTTAATATTGCGAGCGGCTCTTGCAAACAACTTGGCCATACTGCAAGGGTCCTGACGGTAATTATTATATTTGTTGTAATTAAATTAAGTGTAACACAAAATCTTACGAAGATCAATTATAAATTTACAAAATGATTATAGCTTTATGCATCTGTATTGATGAAAGATCCAGTCTCTGTTGGAAAAGCGAAAAACCTGTTGGAAAAGGCACTACTTCAAGATGAAAGTTATTTACCTGCTGTTTACCTGTTAGTTGAAATATATGAGCAAGAAATGAATTTAGAAGCTGCAATCGCGTTACTTTTGAGACAAGTAGAAACGCAAACAGCATCCAAATTACATCAAATGCTTGGAGATTTGTGGGCGAGAGTTCATAACGAGGAGAAAGCTTTGAATCATTATGCAATTGCTTTGAAGTAAGTTTTGTAAAATTATATGTACTAACGTATACAGAAATAAATTATACGATACGTTTGCCAGAAGTAACGTATATACAATGGATAATACTTGGTACATTACTTTTGACAAATTATTTATATAGTAATATTAAAATCTTGTAAACCAAGTGAATATTTCATATTAGTCTAGATCCAAATAATAGAGGGGCATTGGAAGGTATGCATAGATTAGACAATTCTTCGAATAAACTAGACTCAGCTTATTATATGACTGTGGGTGAGGAACAAACAGATACAACTTATGATGTTGGTGATGGTTTACCAGACACTGATAATGATGATGCACCTGATGAAAGTGAACCCGAGGCCGTGTGGTCAGACATGGATCTTGAGGCAAATAGTCAATAACAAGAAAACTTTATTGTAAGGTTAACTCGTTTGAATATAATTAAGTTAGGTATGTAATTAATTTTTATTGCGGTATACCTTAACATCTTTGTCACTGAGGATGTCTTTTGTAAACTGAACGTAATCGGCTAAAGATGTAATTAGACAATCATATTTGAATATCACTGGTCATAGGCGTTTGTTCAAAGACGTGTACTGGTGTCAAAGGTGTTAAATAGCCTTTATCGTCTGAAATTTTGTAAGGAATAAATTTATTTCAGATCACAAAATGTTTGATCTTTTGCATTTATTTATCCAAAAGTACTATTTTGTCTTGTACATCATTCATTCTCAGAAATGTTGTGTACATAGAACAGTACTTGCTACAGATAGTTTATTTACATACTATACAGAAGTGGAGATTCATAGAATCAATAATGCTATTAATACGCGAATTAATCGATGTACATTAAAATTAAACATACATATATTTGTCTACGTATTTTGAAAACGAGAAAACAAACAAAAATCGCACGAAGGACGTGTTGACGGAATTGTTCATCGACAAAAGGAGCCCGCAATTTCGTACTAATGATGAATTAATTTACTCATGTTAATTTAAAGTCAATAACATTATATTTGTATCTCTTTTCTAGAAGAAAACTTTCGGATTCGATGTATTTAGAAAACGCAGAATTCAGTCTTAAAAGGTAGGAAGCACGTGTATTTTCCTAAATAAACTCGGCTTTGGTCTTAGAACTGCTTTCATATTACATACATATACTTGTTCAACCTTATTTGATGATGTGATATTATTTAATAAGCATATATCAACGAGAATTAAAGCATCACTAGCGACGTAACTGATACATATTGGAACAATATGTGCAACACGAAAATTAATAAATAAAGAATGACCAGAATGCAAGTATTTGTTAAATGTAACGAAAACGGTCTATAAGCAAATTTAATATGCATAAATTTTGTTCGTCCTAATGATTATCCATTTTACTTTCACAAAAATAAATTCAATGAGACATCTTCCTCTCAGAGTCCGTTTATATGCTTCCTTTTATCCGCGATTTTCTCGCGTGGCTTCGTTGTGTTGTATTTCATTGAAACCTTTCATCTTCACGTTTGATCCTGTTGACGAAGTAATGACAGAAGAAGAGGTAACGGAAGAAGTCGATGAAGATGAAGAAGAAGACGATGGATCATCGTTAATAACTGAAGCAGCACCTGATCCCGGTGACGGACTATAGACAGGTCGAAAGGAAAATCCAGGAGAATCAAGGCTGGAACAAGATTCCGGAGTTCCGGCCGCGCTAATAATTCCTGAATTTAGACTAGATATTGCCACATCCAATCTGAATTAAGAGATCAAATATGTATACTCTGTTATTAATGTCGAAAGTTCCTTTGAATCTTATTATACAATTACCTAGATGCAGTAGAAGTTAGTAAACCAGAAGTACGTTTCGCGGGAGGTTGTAAATGATCCATTCCAGAATCATCTAGTTCAAATTTTCTCTTAACTGATGCTAAACAACTCGGTCGTATTGCAATAGGGCTTAAACTCCGTCTGAATACATTAATAGAAAATACATTTATAAATATTTTCGTTAATATAGACTAGGGCCCTTACTATCCAGATATCCCAGTATCATTAGAATTACTCATATATAGTGCATATAAATGATTAAGGATCAGAATAATAGGTGATACTAATACGTATTAAGTGCTTCATAAAAGCTGCATCGAATATGGGGCTAAAGAATTTGTCTTGGATTCTCTAGGAAGAGAATCGACATGTATAATGATTTGCCTTTTGCAGCACCTGTGTATTTAACACAGCGGGAGAAAAGCTTAACATAAATCAGACACGAATTATCATACTTACTCAGACATACGTGTTTTGGGTATCTAAATGACTTATTTTGTGAGACATTCAAACACCCGAATAGTTAAGATCTGGATATCCTCGTAATAGTAAGAGTCCTAATTAGACACGTTTTACTTCATGTGGAAATGAATATACCTTGTAGCAAAAGCTTTTCTAGTAGGACTAGGTGATAAATTGTTTTTCCACGTAGCTGCGTGAACACCAGGTGAATAACACTGTTTCTGACCAAATCCAGTTCTTGTCGGCGATGGTGAAGAATATGTTGGGCCATTTACAGACAAGTTAATACTCAAAGGATCAAGAACTCGTTTAGCGATGGGTCGAGATTCTATCTTAAATTGTAACGAAGCTGATTCTGAATCTTTAAACGATAATCCCTCTGCTTCTATAGTGAGATCCTCCCACGACTGGGAGATCTGCATGGCACTATGTATTTCTTTTTCGTGTGCTGCTTCGCGACCAGCAACATCGATACACTCTTCCTGTCTCAATTGACTTATACGTGGCGTTAGCCTAGGAACATTTCCAGGACTCTAAAACAATAAATAAATAGCACAGTTGAAAGTATAATCAATAGGATATTGTAGATAGACAGTAATTGATTTTCTTATTTGAACAAAACTTAGACGTGTGATTATTACATAATCATCACATTTGGATTGAGCATTGAAATTAAAAATTTCCAAGAGAAAACATATCCTTACACTAGTGCTGAAGCGTCGCGTGCGAGGAGAATTTGAAAATATGTTAAAATTCGATGGAACATCCCTGGAAACAATTAAAATCAGTTTTTCTTAGAATATCATGTAGGTCAAAAGTTGAATATAGTCAATTTCACTGTAGATTATAAGAGTTTGGAATTTAATAAAGAATACCTTGGCGTTGAAGTGGTAGGTGATGTTATAGACATGGTTGCAGAGATCTTGTTGATCATGGGTGCACTACTAGATCTCTTTAAGTTGACTACGGTGTAGTCAACATCCATGATCATCCAAACCAATTAGTTTTTGGTACATCTGCATGAGCGTGCTATCGAAGGATTCCAAGCACATTGGGATGTATGTATGTACAATGATGATGATGATGATTTACTTAGTTAGCTGATCTACCGATCAGCAATGGATTTTCAGCACAGACTGATCTTTTGTGGCTACTTGATAGTTTAGTAGTAAAGAAGTGTGTTTGTTTGCACGAGTACTGAGGAGATACCGCATTTGAACTCTCATTTAAACTCTGCCGTTCCAATTATTTATTTCACGTTTCGATTACGCTATTAGAGCGAAATTATATGTGGCTAATTCTTCGTCTTTCGAGTTAAAACGATGGAGTGAGAATTAACGAAATATAAAATCTGCTTCACTGAAACTATGCATAGCGTAAAAGAACGAAGTAGCAAACAAGCCACAGGAACGATTTTGGATGTTCCTAATTTTTTTCAGTTATTACTCAAACTACCGTACAGAAACCGGGTTACAAATTAAAATGCATCATTCAATTCCGTAACCCTTGGTTTTTAGACGGCATCGATATCACTGTGTGCAATTAAATTACAATTGCTTCAACTTGATCATCGAACACCCATCATTTCCTATCGCAAAGCACGCGTATGTCAGACCTATGCCTATGCCTATATGATCCTTTTGCCTCCTTAGGAAAAATGTTTTTGCAAAAAAAAAACACACTGTTTTCTTTGATAGCCTTGAGCCCTCATTCAATTTATGGGTCTAAGGATACATGATCAAATCGCAGAACTTAACTACAGTATAAAATTATCGGCAACGAGAAAAAGGGAGGAGAATTATGCTATCTCGGATGATCCTACTCTAAAATCATAGCTTCTCTCTCTTTCCTTTAAGAGGCGCTATATTTAAGTATTTTCAACGATAGTTTTATGACAACGTTTTTGATGTGAACAAAAATTTAATTTGGTAATTTACCAATAATTTTTTTAAACCAAGCGATGATTATACATGAAATAGAGTAATGGCTATAAAATTCTTCAGGTTTACGAATTTGTATGGTAAGATGCGCGCGAAACAAAAGGGTTGCTCAACGGCCGCGTTCTCAATCCTGTTTAAGCTTTAAAATTAAAATGTAAAAGTAAACGCTAATAAGCTCATCTAAGCCGTGAAGTTTTAAAAATCATGTGATATCAATAATAATTTATACACATAAATAGAAAGTAATTTTCTATTTCTATAACGAAATACCATGGTAAAGTGTTCATTTTTATTGTTTTCAATTGTATTTAATTTAAACCATATATATAAACTTACTCACTTGAATTCTATATAATAATTAATATAAGTATTCCTGTTCTAATATATTACCTCAAGTTTTACATATAATTTATCAA